CTAATCTGTCAATCCTGTTTAGTATAGGTTGCATATTTCAACATTTCCACTGTAACTAAAATGTTTCGTCATTGTTTCTACGTGCCCAAACAAAAGCAGAGTATGTTTTGCGTTTTTAGATCGACATTTTTATTCAAACTCTCTTATTCTCTCTTTGTAATATATTAAAAATTTCGTTATCTTTTTTAATGTAATATTATACTTAAACTAAACTAATAGGATTGTAATATTTCAATAATTTAATCGAAACATTAATTGGAAATTAACTTCCGTCAACGTTCTATATAAATTTAATTAATATACATACAAGCTAAGCAAATATTAATTTAGCGATAACATTATTTGACAAGAATGTTTGTATAGTTACAAATTGACTGCATTTTTATTTGCCTAGATTATACATATATGACACCTACCTATTGCTATAGAAATATCAATATTCTTCGTCAATATCATCATCTTATCAGCTATTATCCGTCTACTGCTGAACGTAGGTCTCTCTCATAGACTGCCATAAAGAACGGTCCTGAGCCACCTGTATTCACTGATTTTCTGCAGAACATTTGAGGTCGTCATTTCATCTATCGAGAGATTACTTACTGTATTTTACCTTACCTTTACTGTGTTTAATCATACGAGGAAGCCACATAATATTATTAATATTTAACAAAATGTACACATGGTAAAGCATAACTTGAATACTTCTTTACAACTAAGAAAAACAAATGAGGAAGCTTGTGGACTCATTGAAACAATACACAGGAGAGCCTTGATTAATAATACTAACTAGATAACGAATCCAATAAGTTCGGCAGAAAAAAATTATGAGTCAATATTTTCGTTGATTGAAATGAAACATTATTCCTGAATAAAATTAATTTGAGAGACTATAGTAAATTTGTTTTTGTCACATTTGATTAGAATAATTAAAGATTGTGTCCTATAAAAAACCGACTTCAATTGTGAGAAAACTGGTTATTTTGATCTAAAAAATGAACTATTAAACCGATTTTGATAAAATATCTATGGAACCAATTTGTATGTATGTCCTTTCAGATAAATGAAGAATTTTCCAAATAGGTTTACAACTGATGGAGTTATGAGGTAACAAACATTAAAAAAATACAACTGAATTGAGAACCTCCTTCTTTTTGAAATCGGTTGAAAACTTGTATAAATACTGTAAATATACCATTAATTCTATTAAACTGGTAACATTCGTCAGATTAGTAATAGATATAACTTAAGAATTTTTTTTTCGCTTTTCTACGTTTTTCTCAGTCGTCAATGTCCATAAAAAAGTTGCTAATGGGAATCGGATAGAATTATATGTGAGCCAATCCGTACTAAAATGTGGGAATCATTATTCTAGTGAAATGTTGAAAGACTAGGCGAGAACATCTAAAAGTTTCGAAGCTTTGTGCGAAAATTCACCGGATGGATATCTCACCGGGAGACAAACATTTGTATTGATATTGTAACAAGGAATCGAAAACTTGTTTTTGAATCTGAAATAAAAAGTATGTTTTTTCTTTTGAGGATTTGCCACCAGAATAAAGTAAAGAAAAAGTAAGAAAGTCCATAAATAGTTTGCGCCATTTTCTTGCAGTATTAGGAGCAAATTTTGAGACCTTTTTATTTATATCACAAAGGTGGCAAACAAGCATTCGTGTTTCAACCGTAAAGCAGTTGCGTTTGCATGGCTGTGTTTCGGTTTGAAGGGTGGGATATGGCGTGAATTCACTGGGTACGGAGGAATAACACCTGAGTCCTCAGGAATGGCAACGCATAGAGGGTATCATGGGTGAAACAATATACTCTGTTATGTCCATGGTACTGCTCATGTCTATAGGCAACGGTTACTACTTTCCATCAGGTGGGCCGTCAGCTTATTTGCCATTCTAATTTGAATAAAAAAAAATATAGCTCAAGTGAAGATAAACGGTCACTGTAGCCTAAAATCAACTTAATGTCAGATAAAGCAACATACATATAACCTGCTATAAAGGAACACCTCTGCTTAATCTATTATTCCTATGCTCATGCAGTTTCTTTGCGGGTATGAGATGTTTTGGATCAGCAACGTCCAAATCAAAGAGTTATTTCTTTACAAATATTGACAGGCTATGATGGTCAAATTGCTATCTCCAGTAAATAGAAAAAGTTATATGCTTTATAGTACAAAAAATCTACGGAGTAGACTCATTGTTGCCCATACCTAATATAATGTAATCACACGCCCAGTTACCAATGAAATTTTGCAACCAGACTTCATACGTGTTGTCTTCAATAAGAAAACAGAATTTCCTACGATTATATGTAACGTATTTACTTCTAAAACCTAATTATTTAAATTTAAATTAGGTTGCTGGTTACATTCGAATATTACCAACAATATATATACATTTTGTTTCAATAGAAATTCAGAAACTATGAGCATGTCGATAAGTTTAAACACTATCGTTACATGTTTTCCGAAAATTGAGAATAATGTTCATATACAACAATATTCCCAATTCACTAAATAAGATAAATTCAACACAAGTCCTTGTGTTATCTATATGAACTTTCGCTGTGAGACCTATATTATTTCTCCCATGGGAGTGTATGGCCATAATCTCCACGCTTGACATGAACTGGAAACAGTGGTGTCAGATATCTTGATATTACACAAAATATTACATAATATGGAATGTGATAAGGTTTTAGATGTTCTTAGAAAAAAAAACCAAGCTTGAACAATTAAAAGTTAATGTTATTTTCATCATTATCATTTCAACCATTATCTGTCCATTGCTGGACATAAGCCTCCCCCATAGACTGCCATAAAGAACGGTCCTGAGCCACCTGCATCCACTGCAGCGCAGTTCAGGTCGTCACTACATCTAGTGGGGGGTTATATTATTTTACAAATGTTATTTTACACTGCACTTATGTCATTAATTCAATAAACGAACTCTTATTACCAAGGCTAAAAAAAAATATGAAAATGTAAGCTAAATAATTCAGAACAGAAAACAGAAATTAAAATGTTTGTTGAACTGTTTTTAAGCTCGTATTTTCTAAAAAGTCTTATATTTTAGCAAAAATGACACGTTGCCACCCATAAGAATATAAATTGATCTCTAGGTGTAATAAATAAATATGATATTGTTAATACACATAAGAATGCTGCTAAGAATTTAGTAGGCGTAGCCAGCGCCTTAGCTAAGTACTTACTACAAACACACGTACTTTAAACCTAACTACAAGCCTAAATCTGTTTTATTACTGAATAACTTAGATATACAACAAATAATATTATATGTAAGCATTTATGTATTAGGGAGAAAGGTTTTTGAGTGGCGACTCTGTAAGGGCAAATGCATTGTAGGATAACTCCCTACTAGATGGTGTGACGATCTCAAATGCATTGCATGGGGTCAGTGGATAGATGATTCAGGACCGTTCCTTATGGCAGTCTATGGAGAAGGCTTATGTTTAACTGTGGATAGATAATAAATACTAAGGTGGTAAGTTGAAATCTAAGTTGTAGAGTCTATTTCAATAGAAAAAAAATTAATATACAACCAAACGAATAATTTATTCGACTATGAACAATCTGCTGGTATTTATCAGTACAAAAATATTATTTAATTGATTGATAATTCGTAAATAAACAAAAGACAGATATAAATAAATAATTCGATTTGTTACAAATTAATTAATTTGATTTTTAAGTGTTTTTGTTCTAAAAATTGTGACTATGGTCATTGTGATATCCATGGTACTATAGTCTACAGGCGATGGTTACCACTTTCCATCAGGTGGGCCGTAAATGGCATACAAAAAAATTCAACAATACATATATATGTATTGAAACAGCCTACGGAATCAGAACAGTAGATCCAGAATATGTCTGCAAATATTAAACTGCTTCTTGCGTAAAAGATAAATGAATTAATCTAAAATAAATAAAATTATATTCTTTTTATTCTTTAGTAATTGATTTTGTCGACTATTACCTACTGCTATGATATGTAGCATGATGATATGATGGGTAAACAAAAGATTTCATTTGCCCGTATTTTGCCAACTAATTACCAATCTCATGAGGAAGGGGCGAGTTATCCCGTCAGTGGTTACACGCCTTTACTACATTATTACCCAGATCCTGTAATTTAATTTAAAATTTCAAATACATATCATAATTCTTCTTTTGACCCCAAATACCTAACTGTGAGTTAAATATATTTTTTTGGCAATAAAGTATAAATAAATATAGGCAATTATAAAAATAGGCACGTAGTAATAATAGGCGCCTACTTGCATTAAAATATTTCATCTATATAAGTAATTAACATGGTGTCTAATTAGTTATATAATATATAAATAGAATAATATAAAATATATTTAAATATATATAATTTTGTGAACAATATTATATGGATAAATATATAACATAATTCGCCATTATATATAACTAGCTTTTACCTGCAACTTTGTTCGCATGACCGCGATAAATGGCTTAGCCTATATCCTTTGTCATTCCAAATACTCTACCTATATTAAATTTTATAACGATTGGCGACAATTGGCGTTAAAGTGCCAAGAGATAACAAAATAACTCATACAAAATATCGATAATATTAATGATTATATTTGGATCGTCTTTCACTGAATATTATCAAAATTATAGCAACTACGCTAAAATATTATTTGCATTTATAATAAATATTAATAAAATAATTTATGCGTATTTATTGGTATCATTAATTTATTATTCTTATATAATATAAAATACCGTTCATCACAGAATTTTGCAATGTTTTCCTAAATGAGATCCATAACATTATTGCCAATTTTATTGGCAAGATTAAAAGCTTTCACTGAATTTAAAGTCGAAACCAGTTCATATTATGTAAGTTTTTTTAGTTATATTAAAATGCACAAAATTCTTATGATTATTAATATTTATTAAAATTTCAAATGCAAGTAGTACCTATAACAAAATTACTTACCAGTAAATTATGTGACAATCCAATTAGAAATAAATCACAATAGAAACACAGAGACGGACAATTCAGCGAACACCACAGTACGGGGCAAAAAACAATATAATAAAATAAAATCACCAGGGTCAAACAGGATAGCACAATTCAAACAAGACGCGGACACACCATGCTCACTGAATTCTGAAATTTTCAGATTTCGTGAATGAGGAACAGTGCTGTTTCACGATTACAGATACAGACGTTTCATAATCAATGCGTGAGTGTCGTAATATTTACGTAATTTTTTTTCAGCCTGTCAGATGGTCGGCGCGATGTAGTGAAACGAGAAGCGAATGTACCACTCCCGGCGAACGCACGGGCCGCACTGCTTGCCCATAACGGCAAAAGGTCGTTCGTTACCCACATTCTCTTTCCGCGCAAGCCTTCCCAAGTTAGAAAGAGAAAGGACATCCACAGCTTTAATATAACACGAGACAGAAGAAGACAGATATACATAACAGCCTCAGGAAAACCCGAATTCGAAGTCTTGATAGTTCTAACTTGAGATCGTGCTTTGCCTTTGTGAATTATTTGAAAGGTATGCTAAGTCGTTGCACAAGTATACGTGTAAACGGAAATGACAAAAGTGTTTAATTATTATATGAGTGGGTAACTGAGCTATTTACAAGGTTACAATAACAGTGCAAGCCTACTTATTGCTATTATCAATGTTTTTATCATTAATAAAGCTGTCGAGGCTTTGTTTGCATGAATCTGTTCATTCTAAATTTAAGTATATTGAAAACAATTAGAGCACGTATTATATAATTTTAAGCAATGTTAACATAATTAGGCTACTTAGAATAATGTTCATAAATACAGTATAAATAAAATCAATAATTAAGATTTTATAGTCATTAAAAGTAGATCTTCTTTTGTAAAATTATATATTAACTTCTTACTTCTTCTTACTAACTAGCTGTTATTTGTTAAAAAACAAAATATTCTTAGTAATTTTATAAAATTAAAATCATTTAGATATAAAGTTTTTTATTTATCTAAGTATTGTAACCCATTTATATATTTCGCACAATAACTACTTTTTTTTATTTTCACCCGAGAAAAGTTTGAATATAGTATTTGAATAAACTAACGTCTTTAAAGTATATATATATATATACATATACAACTTAGAATGGCAAACAAGCTGACGGACAGTGGTAACCGTCGCCTATAGACATGAGCAGTACCATGGAAATAACAGAGTATACTGTTTCGCCCATGCGTTGCCATTCCTGAGGACTCAAGTGTTATTCCTCTGTACCCCGTAAATTCACGCCATATCTCACCCTTCAAAGAGGAAACACAGCCAAGCAAACACAGCTGCTTCACGGTTAAAACACGAATGGGACAGAGTTACCCAAGCAATCGACTTTTGTAAATCGAATCTCCCTCTGGTAAAATATTTTAAATATTGTAAAAACAATATAGATAAAAGATGGCATAAACAATTAAGTTTTCTTTATTTATCATCAAAATAATAACAGCGGAAGGCTATTACTACAAAATCTCGAATTTTGCCCTTTTTCGTTTATGGCATATCTCAAACAGCTTGCCAGCTTGCCTAGTAATTCATTACATATAACTCGCCGGTGAAATTGCAATCAAAGTTCATTAATATTCATCTTCAATGCGACATGCCTATCAAACTTAAAGGGTTATACGATTCGTATCAAATGACTTTTTTAACCACCCAGATCATTTTCATTCTTCAGCTCAAAGCTGTCATCATGCCTCATTACCCTTTAGATAAAAACAACGACGTTTTAAATGTGAGGACGTAGCGCCTAACTTAGGGAATGCTAGTCGGGCAAATGCCCAGGACGGCAAAATGAGTTTACATTTATTATAAATACATATAAGAGAGAGAAAAGCAATATACCTAGATCGTTTAAGTCCTCTGCTTGGATACCACTATCCCATTCATGTTTCTGCTGTGAAACAGTGGGATATGTCAATGAAATTACAGGGTACAGAGGTATAGCATTTTATTACGCAAGAATGGCAACGAATGAAAGGTGTCAGGGGCGCCACAGTATACTCTGTTATATCCATAGTTTATGAATATAGGCGATGGTTGCTATTTTCATCAAGTGGACAGTCAGCTTGTTAACTGTTCTAACGTGCATAAAAATGATCGAATCCTAGAATACGTAGATAAAGTAAATGGTAGTCATCTAGCTTATTTTTCTATTCCCAGTAAATTACTAGTTTATATATTATAGCTATAAACGTATTAATCTATCTACTAGTAGTATAGAATGGATATAGATTGGAAGACAAGTCATAATGTATTTACCTCAGTTTTAACTTCAGTAAAGACTTTTAAATTTTAACGCTCTGCCCTACCAAATATACATTGATTAATAACATAATTACTATTATGCATAATTTGATAGAATGTAAAATAAATTATTAAAATAATAGACTGAAAATTTAATTATATAATACATATAAATTAATACATTTTAAAGGAAGAACAAACAATAAATGCGTAAAGTAACAAAGAGCATTTTTTTAAATTTTATTACACCCTTGATAATGTGCTGTACATTAAAAGACTGAATAAAACTGTGTATAAAATTTTATTATTCATTTCACTATGCAAAGAAAACGGGACATTTTTACACGTAAAATGTTCTATGTCATGTTTGAAATATTTCCTAAAAAGACTTTAGGCATACCATCTGTCATCATAAAAAACACGGGCATAAGTGAGTAGCAGGAAAGACGACCAATGACTGCTATTTATCGTCATACTCCTGACATTTTACATTACCTCTTTGTTTTATGGACATATATAAAGAAGTACATTAATAATAGAGTGAATATCATCTATATTTAGATTATACACCTATGGTTTTAATCTATATTTGTCTGACACACAACACACAGAGAGAGGGAAAGAAAACAATAAACAAACTCGGCAAGTAATTGTGCCTATTTTTCAAAGATTCATTAAAAAAAGTTATAGTTATAAATTAAAATATAATATGAATGATTATGCGTCAATATGAGGCTCTTACCTAAAATAAGGGCTTTCCTAGACTAGATAGTAATTTATACTGAATTATGAAATATGGTTGAGCGCAATGATGGTTAGCTTATCCGTCATACTCTAGAACGGGTGCTGCTTGTAGGGATTGGTCTGTTCATGTTTGCTTGTTTATTTTCCATTTAATAATACATATAAATAGAACTTTATTTTTATATAGTCACAATACCCATGCAAATGTAAAATTATACATAATTAATTGAAAAGATTGAGCTCGTTGCAGGTTCTTCTCAGCAGATAATAAAAAAAATATACATATAATATACACATATATAATACAAACAATAGCCTGGATTAGATGTTATTTATAAATATAAATAGTAACAATCATAATAGGGAGAAAAGAGAAGAAGAGGTCCTACTCTAACACCGCCACACATAAACAATAAGAAGACCATGCCTCACCTGACATTACGAGAGGCTTAGAGCTAGTGACCTGGGGGCAATTGCTTCCGGAGTTCAAACCGGGTAAAGGGCTTCACCCCGAGGCCCTTCCTACCAGAAGGACCTAGAAGACCTTAATTCAACATCCCGAAACCAGCTGAACATAAAAAATTAACGTTTTAAAAGAGTTTGTAAACAAGTATATTTGAATAAAAGTTATTTTTATTCTATTAGATATTATCGTAAATCAAAAAGCAAAACTAAGCAATAGTAGTTTATATTGTATCTATGTTATGGATAAACATGTTAAAACTAAGTAATGGACGAATATTTTTTAAATTATAATAATTTTCTTAATACACAAAACACAATTATTATATTATTATTAAATCAATATCTATCAGTTATAATCTCTAATATAATAGATTTAGTATACGACTCATATAAATAAATGTACAGATAGGCTTATAAAGGTTTATGTCTCTTAAAACATTTAATATTTACCGGAAGTTTATTAAACATAACAAAATATTAGACAGATTATCGTAATTATTCGTCATCATACATTATAACTTTGAGATATCTAATATATTAAAACAAATTATATAATATCTAATCGAAAAGCCTCCTTTTAAAAAAAAAACTGTTTAAAAATATTATTATTATTACAAAAGAAAAAGTCCAACATTCATAAAAAATATAATTTCGACTAAGTCATCTAATTAATAAAATAAAAAGGCACACAGCTATATAATTGGCATTAACTCATAATTAGGTTTTAGGCGAAGGAAAAAATGGATGAACAAGACACAGAAAATAAAACTGCTAGTAACGCACAGTGAGTAGGAAAACATTTTCTTCGTTTGATGACAACTATTTTTTTTAATCAACTAAAGGTAATATGTACTCGTGCGTATAAGCTTACTGTAATACGACATAAATATTTATAGCTTTGCAAATAAATGGTGAAACTTCTGCTCAAGTTAGCTCGCCTTTATATTATATTCAATGGTTGAGAAGCCTGTATACATTCACTATTTCGGTGGTTCTATTTTGCTGTCAGACCCAGTTTTCGTCGCTAAATAGCAATCAATACTACCAAGTCAGTTGTCACTAACATGAATTCAAAACTAAGCCGGTATGATTGGTTTAATAATAATTTTCCTGATTAAGAGGCAAGTCTTTAAAATAAATTTGTTGTTATCATTTTTGTAAATGAATATAAACAATATTTTGTGATAAAAATTTAAGTGCTAATAAATATTATAATTTACCTTTATCCCGATTAAATATATATCATTTATATACTTTTAACCGTATATTCTATCAGTAAAACTATTCTTTTCTCTAAAGAGATATGAATTGAAAAATTATATAAAATCTCTCCAACTCCTCTCATACTAACTAAAATCTGTCTAGTAAATGCGCCATATACTATTACATTGATATATATTTAACCTCTCATAGCAATGAGAGGTTCAAATTTTTTGTTATTTTGATTAATTTTTCTTTAGGAAATGTTCAATTTAAGTAGTAAAACATTCTCTTAGACTAACGTTACTTTAAACAAAAATCAATTCCTTTATACTACATTTTTAATCAATAGTAGACCTTTTTTCTTATCGAGTTTTATATACAAGTAATAATATCAAGGTACTGGTATCTCATAAATTCGCTAACACTCGCAAAGTCGGGCATTAAATTGGGGACTGGTATGCTACTAATTCTAAATACCTTATTTGATATCTCGGGTAAACAATACCCATGTCATTAATTTCTAACTTGTTTACAATAATGTCATAATAATCTGTATAAATTATAAGTATTATAAATTATGGCAGGAATAATTTGAACGAAATTTACAAGGATTTATTTATTAAACACACTTAATTTCAGTTAAGTA